TCTATTGATGAAATAGTTTTTTTAAAAAGAGATTACGAACCCTCCATTGGAATGTAAAAATAAATACAGATAGAATAGTTGCAAAATTTTCTAAAGCAAGTTTTCGAGCCCTCAACGTGGTATTGCGAGGTGTTGTGGATCCGATGACGGAGTCGCCTGTCTTTTATAGCATTTTTCATTTCGATACTTATTACAGAAACTTTGCTGTTAAATGTTTTTTACTTGAGTGACAAGTAAAATAATTCTGACTTGTTTGTAAAAATAATTCTGACTGCGTGTTTTGATAGAATAGTTGCGAGTTTGCTCAAAGCAAAGTCGCGGATCTTCAACTAAAAGTGGAAAGAGTATTGATAGAAGAGTTGCAATTTTTCTTAAAGCAAGGTAACGAGATTCCATTTTGAAAGTAGGAAAAGTGCTGGGAGAAGGGTTGTCAGAGATCACTAAAGATATAATAGCAAATGATAGGTTTATCGTTGCGAGAGAATTGTCATAAAATAGCGCTTGCGGCTTAAAACAAATCAATTCAAGTTACACTGTCAAGGAAACAGGTGAACGTCAACTCAGCAAGAAAAGTATGTGAGAAAAAATTAATTCAACGCGAGCATTGGTCACGCCCCCACCCCATCCCACTATCGTGATTTGAAACGGGTGGTATGCCGTCAGGTGTCATGACGTCTTATTACAACTTTTAGCTTTTAAACTTGCTTTGAATTCATTCACAAATATATCCATGACTTCAATTTCATAGTCCACTCAAATTTAAAAATATATTTATGACGTCATTATAATTTTACAATCATTTTTCGTAAGCCATAATGATTTTTTTAAATCCGCTATGACGTAACAGAGAGTTCCACAGGCGTGTAGAATACAAAATATGGTATTGCACCATGATCTCAAAATTTTCAACAAAATTCTGTGTACGTCACCGTAAAGTGTAATAATTTTGGATGGTAAATGTGAAGCCAGAAAGATTTTTGTTCTTCCCAAAAAACTATGCTTATTAAACATAGACGCTGGTCTAAAGCTGTGTTCCGAGCGAAAGTATTCATTCCTTCATATACAATTAAAAAAAGTATCGACAGCTCTTTATCACGTTCTGAAATATGATATTAGATTATGACGTCGCAAAACTTTTCAACGAAATTCTACGTACGTCACCGAACCAGAGTGTTTTGGTCTTTAGTAGCTTATTCAATCAAAAATTCTGGTCAAAAGCATATTTCAAAGCGAAATTATTGAAAACCTAATTGGAATCAAAAAAAGTATTGAGAGTTGTTCATCATGTACTGACATATGATATTACATTATCACGTCGCAAAACTTTTCAACGAAATTCTACGTACGTCACCGAACCAGAGTGTTTTGGTCTTTAGCAGCTTATTCAATCAAAAATTCTGGTCAAAAGCATATTTCAAAGCGAAATTATTGAAAACCTAATTGGAATCAAAAAAAGTATTGAGAGCTGTTTATCACGTATTAATGAAACCTCGCGAGAAATTTCTCATTTGTGGAATTCCCAGGTTGTTCGTCACAACAATAATTACGAGAATTGACTTCTTTTCATATAAATGATCTAATGACATGACAAAATAGAAATAGGTAAAGATTTTCTAGAAATATTAAATCCGGAAGAAAAGGTTTTTCAGGTATGAGAAGTTTTTAAATGAGTAAGACATTTTTTATACAGGTCATGTAATCGGAATATTAACGTAAGGATTAGTAACTGGGATTCTTGAAAAAATTGGTGCTTATCGCAGAAAGAATTTATGATACATAGCTATTTATATATTTGAGAGAATTTACTCCTCAAAACGCGCACTGACTCTAAAATAAGGGAGACAATTCCACCTCGGACACAAAAATGGCAAGTGCTAACGAAACAAGTGTATTACCAACAAGTTACCAAGTCGGATCTTTTGTACAAGACCCCCTCTGAAAAAGGGCCGTCGCCATAAATAAAAATACTAAAATAAAAAAAAGTAGTAATTATTCAGTAAGGTCAAGGCTAGGAATGCAGATTGCGCTGAAAACTTTTAAATCATTTCTTACCCGAACCCCAACTAGATAATTACTAGTTTGTTATTTTAAAACGCGGAAGGGGTGTTTTTCTAAAATCTCACATTTTTGCATTAGTGGCGAAGGCCAGGGTTGCCATGTTGGCTTATTTAACGCCAAATTTCACGATCTTGGCTTTTTTTATGTCCATTCTACTGTCTATTATTAAAATCATTTAAAATATGCACAATAATAGTATTTATTGTGAAACAATAGCAAGGCGACTACTCAACATTTTCCCTTAACCACAATCAATCAAAAGAAACCAACAATGACATAACATGTGTTAGCGATTAGGTTGAACTATGAAGAAGTCTGACCTTGGTCAAACAAAATGTTACAGAAATATATTTGTGTGCCGCAAGAGTATTGAATCTCCTAGAATGACATAACAATTGCAGTTTTTGTAGCCGCTCAGACACATGTTCAAGCAGGCTTCGTTTTCATAGTTTTGCGTGTTACAGAGTTATTTGTCGGTTTTCAGTTAGGTTTCCAAAAAATAGTTGTATGCCTTAATTCAGTAATTGTCATTTTGCTTTCCGAAGAGCTTTAATTTGATTGCGGACTGCGGTAATCAAAATTTTCGCAAATGACGTGATTATCTATCAGTAGACTATCTGTACAAGCGGCTCGCGGTTAAATAATATTAGTAAAAACGAACCCTTCAAACATGTTAACCAGTTTATAACCGCCAACACTTCAAACCAATCATAAAAAAAAATTCAATAGGTAAAAATCACGAGAATTTTCTGAGTTATATATATATATCGCAAGTTAAATTAGAAACATGTACATTTATCCGTCCTAAAGCGGTATACATGGTGTATTGTATATACCTGAATTGAAAAAATAGTGCTGTCCGCTTAATATTTCCTTTTTTGGCTTTCGATGTATTTTAAATTTTTTATGTAGATGTCAGTTTGACTGTATTATGTCGGATATACTTTCTAATTCTGTCATTCAATGATCCTTCTTAGTTATATTCCCCTGATTGTGCTGAAGTGGAAATCGTCATGATAGCAATCAAAACTACAAATTTTAGTAGGATTTAGCATTTGATGTGGCTCACTAAATCACCTGATGACTCTAAATCAGCATATTGCGAACTGTGCAAATCCACAATTGTGCTAGGAGTCTCAAATCATGAGGTTTTGTACTTGTTAAAATTGTTGACTTTTTATGTCTTTTTTCTGTCTTAATTTGGCTATTTGTCATCACTGGGATCTGGCAACCCTGGTGGAGGTTTTGTACAAAAGATTCATGAACGCTTATTTTCAAATTCTTCTCTAAAACCTTTTGAGGTCAATACCGAAAAAGCGAGACGGAGATGTGCAACACCTCACAAGTGGTGTCTAAAGTTTGAAGGAATTAGTTGTTTTGATCTCAGCCTAACAATTTGTATTCGACTCGATTCAAAATGGTTAGCGTTAGTAAATCGACCAATATCTAGTTTTAGGAAGATCAGCTCGGTACATAGGTATGTACGTTATGATACATACAGTATACCGTTCTTTCGGCATACAAAAACTTAAGCTGTGTACGGTATATAGGTGACTCGTTCACTTCATGAAGTTTTCGTGGCATCCATCTGTCTCTAAATGTTGTAAATAAACCGTGTAATACAATTCGTTACAGATGTTCAGTAGCGATAGCTCCATTGTTTAATTTACAAAAATTCATTACATATTGCCAAAGATTCGTAACTCTTACTCTTACTTACGGTACATTTATTCTGCAGTCAATAGCATCATAAAAATGTTGAATATTTTCCCAAAAATTAAATTGTATTTACTTCCTACTTAATTATTTTTTACTGAAACTTTAGTGATGTCATCAAACACCTAATTTACATTTTTGACGCAATATAAAGCACACAAAAACAAAAGTGTCTCGCCGTATTAGGATTCAAAATTTGCGGCTGAAAATTTTAAATTCCCCGGCATTATTATGACGAAAATTGACGTCATAGAGACAACATCGGTGTCGCTAAATAAAACGAGATATTTCCTGAAGTACAAGAAAAACAGGACTTTGCACTTTTGCCTAGTTACGAATGTATATATATACAGAGACCGCGTATGAAGATAGCTCAGTCTAATCAGGTAGTTCAGTAGGTGCCAATTACGATGCGATATCAGGGATTGTGTAATTTAAGTGATTCTAGTTAGTGTTGGGAAACGAATTCTATGAGAATGTCTTTATGAGATTAAACGCGATTGAAATCACATCAAGCAAGGGAGATCGAGTAGCAAAGTGCAGTGTTCATTCTTGGGCTGGCAGCGAAAGATAAGATCGCTTTATCGTAATCTTTATTGTAATTCTATTGTGAGAAAACAGTTCTATTACAGCTGGCAACAAAACTTTTTTCCCGGGCGCAACGGACTTTGTTTGATACTGTCTTATTATATATTGATGATATATTTTGTTACCTAAACTATTGTGTATTGACATTTTGTGTTGTTTAGTCAGTTGCAGAAATCAATTTGACATATTATCTCATCCAAGGTGGGAGAAATTGGTGAGACATGCAGAGCATTATTACAAAATCAATAACTCCCCATGTATCAGAGCATTAATGATATTTCATCACAGTTGTTTGTAACCTGAATTATTATGCACCGACATTTTGAGTTGTTTAGTGAATCGTAGAAATCAATTTGACATAACACCCCATCCAAGGTGGAATAGATTGGATAGACAATGACGACTCCATAAGCATCATTTCAAATTCAAAAAATAAGCCAGTACTTCATTTTTTCATCATGTTTGAAATGCGAGTACATACAGAATGTAAACCCCACCTAATAGAGATGGTAGGAGTTGCAAATTAATAAACGCCGATTATTTAGAAAAGAATTGTTTCTTTGCATAACGATTATAAAGTGAAAAAATATTAAAAACTTTAATCATTGTTTTCTCAGAAACATAAATAAAATTACAAAATGGAGAACTGTTTAGTGAGAAACTTTTATAGAGCAACATTATCAATGGCATCTCATAAATCGGAGATGACATCATCTAATAATGACATCATATCACCAGAATTCGTTGCTACGAGCATAACTATTTTTGCTGTAGTATTTTCGAGTTACGTCACCTATTACGTCATCAAAAGAATATGGAGAATAGTATACTACCTCTATGATTTAATATTTCTTCCATACGAGTTAATAAGACCATTGGGGTCCGTTGGGTAAGTTGATATAATAGATACCTTAGCGCCTAGTTATATCTGGATTGTTGTCTGAGTCCGATACATAGTGGTAAGAGCGTCGATCGTGGGTTAAAGATTGTTCCTCGTTTCGACCACCTCATGAAGGTTGTATTTAAGTGGTCAGGTGATGCCGAACATCGCTTTAATAGATAATAGCTCTTAACAATTGAGTGGTTGCATGTTTCTTCTTTATGATGAAAATCTAATTGTTAACTAGAAAAATTACTGTTATCGCTAATGTGCATCTGCAAATATTACTTTTTTTCAAAAAGTGGCTATAAAATAAACTATAATTAAAAAAATTCAGTATCGCAAAACATAACAGCACGAGTCAATTTCTTATTGCAATGACAATATTCTGGCCAGTCACGCTTGGATGATATTTACTGGACTTCAATGGAACTTATATAAACCAAATTCACCTTTGATACGCCCAATCCACACCCTCAATACGCCCATATTCAAGGAAAATGTTAACAATTCTATCTTTATTCACAGGTATACCAATCCTGAATCTTACGAAATGACTCAACGACAAATCGTGAACCTCGTACGAAGGAGGCGGAAACAGGGTCTTGAAATTCCACCAGTCTATCCGAACGGATGGTTTCGTATCATGGATTCAAGATTCTTAAAGAAGGGCGAAGTGAAGCAAGTCACTGCAATGGGTGAGTAATTGCTTACATTTATATTTTGTACCCCCGTAATATGTGTACCAGGTTAGGGTTAGGCTCCACAATTTATTCCGATTTTCCTTATTTTAGTTCTATTACGAGTCGGGGACTGTCTGTGTTAGCCAAGTGAATACACCCTCTGCCTATAGGTTTGAGCCCCTTTACACAACTTGGTGTAAACTAGGCGAACAAAATTAGTTACCTTCATATTAGTACACACTTTTGGAGCACTGAAATCTTAATATGTCTGCGGCTAATATGTAGGCTAATTTTCAGGGCTGGGAATGGTTAACCGATAAACCGATTTCAGATGGTTAACGGTTACGATTTATTTTAACCGTTAACTGACATCCCAAGTACAAACCATCTTTATACCGTACAATTTCTTCAAATATAATTACATCTTCTCAAATTTATCTCTTGTGGCGTTTAATTCAAAAGAATATTACTAAATGTGTGAGTAAGGACTCAATAAATGTGAAAAATAATGGAAGTACAAGATTGTTGATCATGGAAATTTGACAATGATGAATTCAGAATCAGTTTCAGGTCGATTTCGAAATATATTGTTCACGATGACATTGCAAAATCGAATATTTAATGTCATACAAGTCATACAACAAGTGAAATTTGACAATGATGAATTCAGAATCAGTTTCAGGTCGATTTCGAAATATATTGTTCACGATGATATTGCAAAGTCGAATATTTAATGTCATACAACAAGTGCGCAGTTGATGCCGTTTTTCTATATTATATCCCGAAGTAGAACTTGCACATCGAACACTGAAAATTTATGACATAATGACGTTTAACAACGGAATCGGGTTTTTCTAAAATACTTCCACATGCTCAAACCACGCTGCCTATTCTTGCAGCAGAACAATCATGTAACTATCGCGATTCGTGAATAAATTTGAGCGATGCGGAGATAAGAACACGCGAAATACTTTATAAGCACTGTGACGTAACACGCTGAATTATAAATTAATACGTCAAACGTCACGCGGCGGTTAACCGGTTAATTTTACCCGGGTAACGGTCAAAGTGTTTTCCCTGAAATTCCCAGCCCTACTAATTTTACATGTCCTGGGTCTGGTGGCGATAGGTCAAATCAAAAGTCCGCCATTTACTTTAATATCTTTTTAGCATTTTCTCACAGCCAATTCAATTAGAGCTAATTAAAGGAAACTCATCTGTGGGCTTAATTGTGAGTGATCGCTTGAATAATCCAGTAACACTTGCAACGCAACGTGAAACAACGCCTGATTGGAGTGTTCTGTGCGAGATGTCTCACATTTTTTGTGGGAATTTCCTAAAAGTAATGTAACGTGCACTCACTCAGAAGTAAGACCACCTTGAGCAAAATCACGGGCAACGACTAAAACCAATCAGAAACATAAAATGGTATTTTCGTGCAACGCGACATGAAACAGCGCCTGGTTTGAGTTGTAATGTATGCGTTGGCGCACATTTTTCGAAGATTACTTCAAAGTAGTCACGCACACTCATTCAGAAGTAAAGGAAGACCGTCTATGAGCAAAATCAAGGACGCTCTAATAGGATATGACTTACATATTTATCTCGGGGAATAGGAAAGCCGCTAAGACGGCTCAATCATATGGCGAACCACGGCCTCTCGTCCCGTTACCAGTGAATTCCGGACATGGGATTAGTTAGCCAATTATTTGTTTCAAATGCACATTGACTCTAATAACAATATTTTCTCGCAACGTGGCATAAAACGGCGCCTGATTAGAGTGATGTGTGCGTTGTCGCACATTTTTTATGGGAATTCAGTCAAATCTATGTCACATGGTAAAGACTCACTTCTGAGCAAAGCCACGGTGAACACTGAAAGTCCCAATTTACACAACAATATTTTCTCGTGACGCGACATGAAACGGCGTCTGATTGGATCATAATGTAGGCGTTGTCTCGATTCTTCAATCGCGCAGAATAGATGTCTCTCGTTAATGCAGATTATACGTTTTTATTCGTATACAATTTAATACGCATGTTTTTTTTACGTTTGCTGGAAGTGCGCTCACTATACATTAGGCCCCTTATGAACGCAATTAATACGTAAAGTGAAAGTATGTGTTGGGATAAAAGGAATCTTTCGTTGCGGTTTATTCTACCTAATTGATTACACTTTGGGTTAGGTTTAAGCACGAAGGTTGAACCAGAGGCTTTTAACATGCGACCCTAACATAGTCAAATCTACAATCCTCAAAGTTTGGGTCTTCACTACAAACGACACGGGTGGTACCGAATGCCAGCTCTTGCCTTGGAGGAATAACAACAAAAAATCACGCCTAATTTATCACGCAAAATTCCTAGCAGAAGACATATATATATATATATAGTATTAATATTACATTATGATACGGACGCCAATGTTTCAACGAATTGTTTAGCAGTTTGCACGATCCGTTGCACCCGGTATCAAAGACTCTTAATTAATGTTCTTCTATAAAAATTCATAGTTTCGCTTTTAGCAAGTCCATACCAGTTATTTAGTGCGTAACGAAAAAGACAAAAGACGATAGCAGAAAAATAAATGCATTACAGTCAAACATTTAATCAAATCGCAGGCAATATACTTTAAATAAATGTTGTTTTTGCGAATGCTATAACTAGGCTGATATCTACAGTAACATGAATTCAAACTTGTATGCAAATGTAATTAAACGTTCTCATGTTTCCATATTTATTGGCCGACTACAACTAAACATCCAGACGTTTCTTTTAAGAAAAAAAAAGAAAAAAAGAGTGATCATACTTTCATATAAAATTAGAAGGAGCGAAACTTCGAGCCTGATTAATAGGAAATTAATGACTTTATTTTGCTGAATTTGTTGGCTTGAAAAACGAAATCATCAAAAAAAAGTTTCAGAATAACAGTAATGATTACACTTCTACCTAAATTTAGAAGATTGATTGATCACCGAGTTCCGAAACAAGTTTAAATACAATTAATCCGGACATGACGTAACTGCTGACTCTTTGTCTCAAATTAATATTCAAATTTCAGGAGAAATGAGTGTTGCCAGCTTTACCAGGCTTTTAACCACACCTACGCCTTTTAAAACCTTTTAAAAACTGCTAACCCTTCATGTCGTGACTAAAAAATGGCAACACTGGTTAAAATGTGATAATTGAGTCACGTTTCAGTATTTACTACTTGTAATCCGACATCAAAGTTTATAAACGATATTTCATTTATTTCATATTTGTGAGAGTCAAGACTAAACGACTTTACACGCCCGGTTCTAATGGTATGTCACTCGTTATTGCTGTGGTTCCCAGCCGTTTTCGTTAAATTCCTTCTATGCCAATTTTGGAACTCTTTATGGATGTTTCCCCGAGCACCAATTTTCTTTCCGGAACAATGGCCAATCACCAATTAATCAACAATGACGTAACAATTGAAATTTACGCGGCTTATACACTTATTTCGCTCAGACAGATATTTAAGCATGGCTGTAAATATTGCCTCACTTTCGTTGCCTTGCATGTTATATGCCAGTTTTCGGTTGTGTTTTTCGAAAGTAGTAGTAAATCAATTAAAATTTTAGGAAGGTGTTCACCCTTTATAGGAAGGGGTATAGGAAAATCTCTGGGGTGGACTATTATCTTTTGCAAATCAGTGATATAAATCGGGCAGTACTATACTGTTATTGCCCCACCATCGACATGTTTAACTTCTGTTTATCTCAAGTTAGATTAAAGAGTAAACAAACGGAATAATTTTAACTTCATTATTATTATTTTTTTTTCAGGTGAAAACTTAATTGCTTTCCGTGGCAAATCTGGCAACGTATCAGTGATGGACGCCTATTGTACCCATATGGGAGCAAATCTTGGAGTTGGGGGCCGCGTGTCAGGAGATTGTATCCAGTGCCCGTTCCATGGCTGGAAGTTCAACATGGAAGGGAAATGCGTCGAAGTGCCCTACTCAGATAAATGTAAGCAATCCCGGAATTTTTTAGTATAATTGGTCGTTCTACATTTTGTATTAGTTCCCATGGGAAAGGTCCCTGACCCTTCGGCTAAAATCATAAATAATATTAACTGAAATATTGAAAGCCTACGCTTACGCTTTAAGAGCGGAATTTATTTTTTATTGAACTTTCTGAACGTCGTAATCTCTAAATAGAGAGTAAAAATAATTTTGATGGAATAATTGCAAGCGGCCATTGGCGTGCCTAGAGCTGTACAAAGTGATGATGTAGTGGTACAGTTATGCCCTAGGAATTATACATAAAATTATCAGCTCTAGGCAATAAGTTCACTAAAACGTCCATTTTGATTTTGTTTCTACTTTACAGTGCCAAAGAATGGAGATATGAAGACCTGGCACTCACGAGAAATGAACGGTAATATATATGTCTGGTATCACTGTGACGGGACAGACCCGGAGTGGGAAATGCCCTCTGTACCGCAAGTCGACAAGCAACAGTATGCTTATGCAGGCCGAATAGAGCATCATATCAACACACATATACAGGTAAATAGAGTTGAATACGCGTTTTAGAATTCGGTGCTTCTCAAACGGTGGGGCGCGCCCTTGTAGGCAATTTGTTCGAGGGGACGTGAAGCTTATTTGTTAGATTTGATTTTGCCCGCCTTATTTTGGATATTTACACTGTAAAGTGTTTTCTGAATAAAACATACTTTTACCTGTTGTTTGTAGCTTATTGTTAGCTAGTAATTTTTGATGCGGGGCGCGAGACTTGACGAATTCTAAAAAGGGGGCGCGGTTTAAAAAGTTTGAGAACCACTAAAATTTTAGACAATTTATCGGACAAAGAAGACCTTCTTTCGGAAAGTTCTTCTTGCCGTTATAAGGTTAGGAGAATGAATATAAGACCCCAATTGTCATTTAAATATTATTTTCCGTGGCGTGACAACGGCGATGTGAATAGGTTTGGATATACTTTTCCAATTGCTGATTATTAGATGGTCTCTTCAGTAGAGGGCTATTTGGGCTGTCATTTAGACATCTGGTCATCAGGGCAAATAAACTTTAACAAGTACATAGTAAATTTCTATCCCTTTTAAAATATTTGATTAGACTCAGCGCTTCTTGTGCGAAACGTTTTGATCCCTGTGGTGCACTTCAGAAAGTGAGCGCCCAAGATTACGTAAACACGCCAAGATGGGCACTTGGCACTTTACGCTTTAAAACATTCAATTCTTAATTTTAAGTTGAAATCCTATTTGTATTTCTTTTTTTATAAACACAGCCCCTCCCCCAACCCACCACCAAACTACGCGGGTAAGGCCAGGAGTACAGGCGAATAAGACCAGTATTCCCCTAATAAAATCAAGTACAATGTTCACAGCAACTTCAATTTTTCTCACAGGATATTCCAGAAAACGGATACGATGAACCGCATCTAAATTATCTTCATCAACCTCTTGTTCTTGCTGGGGTAAATTTGGCAACCCATTTTGATTCGAAGTTCAACCTTGCTGGGAATATTATGGAGGTAAATATAAAATTAATCAGAGGTGTACTCATAACTTCTGTGTGCGCGTTATCTTGCTTTGAGATAATTTTTTAAAAACATTTTTTATTCAATTACAACAGACGGACTACAGCACAATGCTTCAAACGGGCGAAAAACACGTTGCAAAAATTAGTCTTCTTCATGTATTCGAAGTTTTCAGTCGGTGGAGAATGGTCTACGTCAACTTTCAAATATATCAGGTAAGACTATTTAATTCAAATCAGTTCAAGTCTATATATTGACATAGAGTACGTGATTTTCATATCCCCACTGCCAGGGGAACCATTACATGACATACTATTGCAAATCCCAAAAGTATTGTCAATTCTTCAGCTTGTAATGCAGTGGCTCCCAACTTTTTTTGCAACCAGTTATTCCCTTTTCGATTATTTTAGAACTTTTTATTCCTTCCTCATTATGCATAAAAACTACTTTATTAATTAAATCTTTTTTGGATTCTTAGCTGGTGTTATGTGTTTGATGCCCCGGGTTAGAATTAGGTCATAATTTTGTTCAGATTTTTCTTATCTTAGTTTTATAACGAGTTCGGGTACTGTCTGTTAGCCAAGAGAATATACCTCCTGTCCATAGGCTTCCGGCCGTTTACACAACTTGATTTACAGAAGGCGAACAAAAATAGTTACCTCCATATTGGTAAACATAGTTCCGAAGCGCCCAGAATTCTTCTCCAAGAACAACGAAATTTCTCATCCTTGGAGAAACTTGTCCCAGTTAGAAAACGTGTATGTTGTCACCAAATAACACTTTATTCTCTTTATGCAGATTGGACCAGGGGTTGTTCATCTACACGTAACAACTCCAGTTGGCAAGATTGTAATAATACAGAACATTACACCAGTGGAACCTATGGATCAAATATTAACTCATGCGCTGTTCAAGCCTTGGTACATACCGAACATTATCGCGAAGGCTGTCTTATGGGGATTGACTGTGCAGGTTGGTTCACTATTTTTTAGTCTTTTATACCTCTTGCGAGAATGAACCTTTTGCGAGAATGAACTTTTTGCGTAAATTTATCATTTGCGAGAATATATTCTTTGCGAGAATAGTCTTTTGCGAGAATGTATCTTCGCGAGAAGGTACATTTGCGAAAACAGACTATTGTGAGAATGTCGTTTCGCGAAAACTGATTTTGCTAAAATGTGGTTTGCGAGAAAAAAATTGTGTAAAAAGACAATTGCGAGGATAACCTTTTGTTAAAGTTTTTTTTGCGATAAAAGACATTTTGAGGGAATATAGCTTTGCGAGAATGTTGTTTCACGAGAAATATTTTTTTAGAAAATGTTGCATTGTGGAAAAAAAACTTTTGAAGCAAAAAGGCGTTTGCGGGAATGACTTTATCCAAGAATGTACTTTTGTGAGAATTGGCTTTTGCGAAAAAAGTACATTTAGTGAGCATGTAATTTTGCGAGAACGGACATTTGCGAGAAGGTTGTTTCTTGAAAAAATTCGCTCAAAGTAAGGTTACGAAAAAACAGGTTTCTGAGCTGAAAGTTGAGAACGGCCACTGACCGACAATAGTTGCAGTAACTATATATAGGGTGTCCCAAAATAAATGAAGCCCAAAAAATTGGTAAACAAATTATTGGGTTTCATTTATTTTGGGACACCCTATATATATGTATAAAATTATGGTTGAACTTCTTCCAACTTTTGATATTGATATAGTCAAGCCCAAAGTCTTAGCTACCGTCTTTACATTTCCTTTTTCAATTTTATAGGTCGATCGTGATCTCATGGTTTGGAATAACAGACGAATACTTGCGAAGCCATTATTTTTGAAAGAAGAAAAAGTACAAAAGACATTCAGGCGATGGTACAAACAGTTCTATACGGATAACAGTCCAAGATTAGGGGATACTAAGAAGGAAGGCGATTTGGACTGGTAATCGGACTGAAGGTCGAACGCTAGTTCAATACATATTATTGTGGAAGGTTGCAGGCTCATCCTACGCCACAGTAAATTGAAAATAAAGTGAGGAAAAGGAATCGCGAACACGAGTTTACAGAAAAAATCCAGCGAAAAGCTCGTCCTACGCTACGCGAGTTCAGAGAAAACCTTATCCTGCGCTACATTAAATGAAAATAAAGTGGGAAAGAAGAATCGCGAACGCGAGTTTACAAAGAAAAGCTCATCCTACGCTACATCAAATGAAAATAAAGTGAAAAAGAAAAATCGCAAACGCGAGTTCGCAAGAGAAAAGCTCATCCTATGCTACAATAAATGAAAATAATGTGGGAAAGGAAGAACCGCGAACGCGAGTTTACAGAGAAAGTTTTTTCAAGCGCACACTTTGACAGCACTTGGATGTGTAGTAGTTTAGTAAAGCAGTGGTTTCCAAATCCTTACGGGTCGTGACCCCCTTTCAAATGATTTTAAAACTCATTGCCCCTCTGTTCCACATTCCAAAAATACAATTTTTTTGTTTCTGAAGATTAAAATTAAAATTTAATTTTCTGCGTCTACAATACGTTTACGACTGCTATCTCGCAGTCAAGTGAAACTGTACTTAATAAGTGAACTAGGTTCGGTCGTTATCTGCAGATAGCAACCTGCAACCAGCGACAAACATTAGAATTCGCAGAGCGAATATTGTTATTTTGATCGGGAGATTCCAGTTGGGAACCGCTGTAGTAAAGTCTAAGGGCACGATGAGCTTCGTCTGAAATTATTGCTTTTACGATTGTCTAATTTTATTTTGAAATTTGAAATATTAAATATCACACTGCTCTATATTTATATATTATTTTTTTATCTTTATTTTAAAAGAATTTTACTTTTTTTAATTATTTTGTTTTTTAATATTATTTTTTCATTCAATTTATTTGTAATAAAATACAGTCCAGTACAAGTTGAATTCACTGAATATATTGGAGAATTAAGAATTTGGGTTTTTCATTTGTTTCTGGAAGGCGGGTGAAGGGGATAAAATGGCTTGGTTTTGCAAACCTCGGCCTCGCGTTCGGTGAAGAATAAACCAATGAGTTAATTAAGCCTTCCTGATACATGGACTCAAGTTGTGGGGAATCCGCGGCCTTCGCTCGCGAGTCAAGCAAAGTTGCTTGCAACTAGGTACAATAGGACTGTTTTCGATTCAATTTAGAAATGAATTTTAAATTTTCCGCAACATTAATTTTATTAGTAATGACGTCACATTGTGCGATTCAATTAAGGCTTCCATATACATCGACCTGAACCGTGGCTTATGTGCGTTATTTTTTAGTTTGCAATGTGCGAATAAATATATGAAATAATGATACAAGATAAATCGAGATGTTAGCAATACTATACGCAAGTACAAAATCCCCCCCGCCCTAAAACCATAAAAAAAATTCCCCCCAGGGGTAAGTTCTTCCCTACTTGGGAATTGATGCACTAAGCTATCAAGCCAACGGCATGTAGTGTTGAATATCATGACTTTGAGTCGTTAGTTAGTTTATTGTAAGCTCTACCACTTCAAACTGATATAATAGCTCATTATGATTCCCTAGCATCGTGGTTCTAAAAGTAGGTGTCGCGACGCTAGGTGCGTCGTTTCAATTTTGCTAGGGCATCGCAAAACATTTCTTCTTTTGCGGAAATATACCTGCGATGCGTAGAAAAAGTCAATATTCTTGTTATTCTTGTTTGAATCCCACTCCAGAATTGAAGATGACAATATATTATTTATTGTAACAATCAACCTTATTTATACGTGGTCTCACTAACGTCATGGGTCATTTAATGCTGTTCCAATTATGACATCACACACACTGGGTCAGCTCGTGCTATGCATGTCAATAATTTCTAATTCACACGCTTTGATACGAAAGATTCAATATTGACACCACGGCAGTTCTCTTCAAGCATAAATTAAATAAAACTTATTGCAAAAGGGGTCAATTCTATTGAAAGCTACTAAGACGTTTTTCACAGGGTGACTTGATCATATCTTCGGAGGGCCTCACAATACTAAGAAGTTTGTAAACCACTGCAACTAGCACATTACCTGGCCCTGCGCTAGAGACAACACCGGTGTCGCTAAATAAAACGAGATATTTCCTGAAGTACAAGAAAAACAGGACTTTGCACTTTTGCCTAGTTACGAATGTATATATATACAGAGACCGCGTATGAAGATAGCTCAGTCTAATCAGGTAGTTCAGTAGGTGCCAATTACGATGCGATATCAGGGATTGTGTAATTTGAGTGATTCTAGTTAGTGTTGGGAAATGAATTCTATGAGAATGTCTTTATGAGATTAAACGCGATTGAAATCACCTTAAGCAAGGGAGATCGAGTAGCAAAGTTCAGTGTTCATTCTTGGGCTGGCAGCGAAAGATAAGATCGCTTTATCGTAATCTTTATTGTAATTCTATTGTGAGAAAACAGTTCTATTACAGCTGGCAACAAAACTTTTTTTCCCGGGCGCAACGGATTTTGTTTGATACTGTCTTATTCTAGAATATATTGATGATATATTTTGTTACCTAAACTATTGCGTATTGACATTTTGTGTTGTTTAGTCAGTTGCATAAATCAATTTGACATATTATCTCATCCAAGGTGGGAGAAATTGGTGAGACAATGCAGAGCATTATTGCAAAATCAATAACTCCCCATGTATCAGAGCATTAATGATATTTCATCACAGTTGTTTGTAACCTGAACTATTATGTACCGACATTTTGAGTTGTTTAGTGAATCGTAGAAATCAATTTGACATATTACCCCATCCAAGGTGGAATAGATTGGATAGACAATGACGACTCCATAAGCATCATTTCAAATTCAAAAAATAGGCCAGTACTTCATTTTTTCATCATGTTTAAAATGCGCAGAGTACATACAGAATATAAAACCCACCTAATAGAGATTTAAGGAGTTGCAAATTAATAAACGCAGATTATTTAAAAATATTTGTTTCTTTGCATAACGCTTATAAAGTAAAAAAATATTAAAAACTTTAATCATTGTTTTTTCAGAAACATAAATAAAATTACAAAATGGAGAACTGTTTAGTGAGGAACTTTTACAGAGCAACATTATCAATGGCATCTCATAAATCGGAGATGACATCATCTAATAATGACATCCTATCACCAGAATTCGTTGCTACGAGCATAACTATTTTTGCTGTTTTATTTTCGAGTTACGTCACCTATTACGTCATCAAAAGAATATGGAGAATAGTATACTACCTCTATGATTTAATATTTCTTCCATACGAGTTAATAAGACCATTGGGGTCCGTTGGGTAAGTTGATATAATAGATACCTTAGCGCCTAGTTATATCTGGATTGTTGTCTGAGTCCGATACATAGTGGTAAGAGCGTCGATCGTGGGTTGAAGATTGTTCCTCGTTTCGACCACCTCATGAAGGGTGTATTTAAGTGGTCAGGTGATGCCGAACTTCGCTGTAAAAGATAATAGCTCTTAACAATTGAGTGGTTGCATGTTTCTTCTTTATGATGAAAATCTTATTGTCAACTAGAAAAATTACTGTTATCGCTAATGTGCATCTGCAAATATTACTTTTTTTTCAAAAAGTGGCTATAAAATAAACTATAATTAAAAAAATTCAGTATCGCAAAACATAACAGCATGAGTCAGTTTCTTATTGCAATGACAATATTCTGGCCAGTCACGCTTGGATGATTTTTACTGGACTTTAATGGAACTTATATAAACCAAATACACCTTTAATACGCCCAATCCACACCCTTAATACGCCCATATTTAAGGAAAATGTTACCAATTCTCTATCTTTATTCACAGGTATACCAATCCTGAATCTTACGAAATGACTCAACGACAAATCGTGAACCTCGTACGAAGGAGGCGGAAACAGGGTCTTGAAATTCCACCAGTCTATCCGAACGGATGGTTTCGTATCATGGATTCAAGATTCTTAAAGAAGGGCGAAGTGAAGCAAGTCACTGCAATGGGTGAGTAATAGCTTACATTTATATTTTGTACCCCCGTAGTATGTGTACCAGGTTAGGGTTAGGCTATATTTTTATTCCGATTTTCCTTATTTTAGTTCTATTACGAGTCGGGGACTATCTGTGTTAACCAAGTGAATACACCCCCTGCCCATAGGTTTCAGCCCCTTTACACAACTCGATGTAAAATAGGCGAACAAAATTAGTTACCTTCCTATTAGTACACACTTTTGGAGCACTGAAATCTTAATATGTCTGTGGCTAATATGTAGGCTAATTTTCAGGGCTGGGAATGGTTAACCGATAAACCGATTTCAGATGGTTAACGGTTACGATTTATTTTAACCGTTAACTGACATCCCAAGTACAAACCATCTTTATACCGTACAATTTCTTCAAATATAATTACATCTTCTCAAATTTATCTCTTGTGGCGTTTAATTCAAAAGAATATTACTAAATGTGTGAGTAAGGACTCAATAAATGTGAAAAATAATAGAAGTACAAGATTGTTGATCATGGAAATTTGACAATGATGAATTCAGAATCAGTTTCAGGTCGATTTCGAAATATATTGTTCACGATGACATTGCAACATCGAATATTTAATGTCATACAAGTCATACAAGTCATACAAGTCATACAACAAGTGAAATTTGACAATGATGAATTCAGAATCAGTTTCAGGTCGATTTGAAATATATTGTTCACGATGATATTGCAAAATCGAATATTTAATGTCATACAACAAGTGCGCAGTTGATGCCGTTTTTCTATATTATATCCCGAAGTAGAACTTGCACATCGAACACTGAAAATTTATGACATAATGACGTTTAACAACGGAATCGGGTTTTTCTAAAATACTTCCACATGACCAAACCACGCTGCCTATTCTTGCAGCAGAACAATCATGTAACTATCTCGATTCGTGAATAAATTTGAGCGATACCGAGATAATAACACGCGAAATTACTTTATAAGCATTGTGACGTAACACGCTGAATTATAAATTAATACGTCAAACGTCACGCGGCGGTTAACCGGTTAATTTTACCCGGGTAACGGTCAAAGTGTTTTCCCTGAAATTCCCAGCCCTACTAATTTTACATGTCCTGGGTCTGGTGGCGATAGGTCAAATCAAAAGTCCGCCATTTACTTTAATATCTTTTTAGCATTTTCTCACAGCCAATTCAAATAGAGCTAATTAAAGGAAACTCATCTGTGGGCTAAATTGTGAGTGATCGCTTGAATAATCCAGTAACACTTGCAACGCAACGTGAAACAACGCCTGATTGGAGTGTTCTGTGCGAGATGTCTCGCATTTTTTGTGGGAATTTCCTAAAAGTAATGTAACGTGCACTCACTCAGAAGTAAGACCACCTTGAGCAAAATCACGGGCAACGACTAAAACCAATCAGAAACACAAAATGGTATTTTCGTGCAACGCGACATGAAACAGCGCCTGGTTTGAGTTGTAATGTATGCGTTGGCGCACATTTTTCGAAGATTACTTCAAAGTAGTCACGCACACTCATTCAGAAGTAAAGGAAGACCGTCTATGAGCAAAATCAAGGACGCTGTAATAGGATATGACTTACATATTTATCTCGGGGAATAGGAAAGCCGCTAAGACGGCTCAATCATATGGCGAACCACGGCCTCTCGTCCCGTTAATAGTGAATGTCGGACATGGGATTAGTTAGCCAATTATTTGTTTCAAATGCACATTGACTCTAATAACAATATTTTCTCGCAACGTGGCATAAAACGGCGCCTGATTAGAGTGATGTGTGCGTTGTCGCACATTTTTTATGGGAATTCAGTCAAATCTATGTCACATGGTAAAGACTCACTTCTGAGCAAAGCCACGGTGAACACTGAAAGTCCCAATTTACACAACAATATTTTCTCGTGACGCGACATGAAACGGCGTCTGATTGGATCATAATGTAGGCGTTGTCTCGATTCTTCAATCGCGCAGAATAGATGTCTCTCGTTAATGCAGATTATACGTTTTTATTCGTATACAATTTATTACGCATGTTTTTTTTACGTTTGCTGGAAGTGCGCTCACTATACATTAGGCCCCTTATGAACGCAATTAATACGTAAAGTGAAAGTATGTGTTGGAATAAAAGGAATCTTTCGTTGCGGTTTATTCTACCTAATTGATTACACTTTGGGTTAGGTTTAAGCACGAAGGTTGAACCAGAGGCTTTTAACATGCGACCCTAACATAGTCAAATCTACAATCCTCAAAGTTTGGGTCTTCACTACAAACGACACGGGTGGTACCGAATGCCAGCTCTTGCCTTGGAGGAATAACAACAAAAAATCACGCCTAATTTATCACGCAAAATTCCTAGCAGAAGACATATATATATATATATATAGTATTAATATTAGATTATGATACGGACGCCAATGTTTCAACGAATTGTTTAGCAGTTTGCACGATCCGTTGCACCCGGTATCAAAGACTCCTAATTAATGTTCTTCTATAAAAATTCATAGTTTCGCTTTTAGCAAGTCCATACCAGTTATTTTGTGCGTAACGAAAAAGACAAAAGACGATAGCAGAAAAATAAATGCATTACAGTCAAACATTTAATCAAATCGCAGGCAATATACTTTAAATAAATGTTGTTTTTGCGAATGCTATAACTAGGCTGATATCTACAGTAACATGAATTCAAACTTGTATGCAAATGTAATTAAACGTTCTCATGTTTCCATATTTATTGGCCGACTACAACTAAACATCCAGACGTTTCTTTTAAGAAAAAAAAAGAAAAAAAGAGTGATCATACTTTCATATAAAATTAGAAGGAGCGAAACTTCGAGCCTGATTAATAGGAAATTAATGACTTTATTTTGCTGAATTTGTTGGCTTGAAAAACGAAATCATCAAAAAAAAGTTTCAGAATAACAGTAGTGATTACACTTCTACCTAAATTTAGAAGATTGATTGATCACCGAGTTCCGAAACAAGTTTAAATACAATTAATCCGGACAAGACGTAACTGCTGACTCTTTGTCTCAAATTAATATTCAAATTTCAGGAGAAATGAGTGTTGCCAGCTTTACCAGGCTTTTAACCACACCTACGCCTTTTAAAACCTTTCAAAAACTGCTAACCCTTCATGTCGTGACTAAAAAATGGCAACACTGGTTAAAATGTGATAATTGAGTCACGTCTCAGTATTTACTACTTGTAATCCGACATCAAAGTTTATAAACGATATTTTATTTATTTCATATTTGTGAGAGTCAAGACTAAACGACTTTACACGCCCGGTTTTAATGGTATGTCACTCGTTATTGCTGTGGTTCCCAGCCGTTTTCGTTAAATTCCTTCTATGCCAATTTTGGAACTCTTTATAGATGTTTCCCCGAGCACCAATTTTCTTTCCGGAACAATGGCCAATCACCAATTAATCAACAATGACGTAACAATTGAAATTTACGCGGCTTATACACTTATTTCGCTCAGACAGATATTTAAGCATGGCTGTAAATATTGCCTCACTTTCGTTGCCTTGCATGTTATATGCCAGTTTTCGGTTGTGTTTTTCGAAAGTAGTAGTAAATCAATTAAAATTTTAGGAAGGTGTTCACCCTTTATAGGAAGGGGTATAGGAAAATCTCTGGGGTGGCCTATTATCTTTTGCAAATCAGTGATATAAATCGGGCAGTACTATACTGTTATTGCCCCACCATCGACATGTTTAACTTCTGTTTATCTCAAGTTAGATTAAAAAGTAAACAAACGGAATAATTTTAACATCATTATTATTATTATTTTTTTCAGGTGAAAACTTAATTGCTTTCCGTGGCAAATCTGGCAACGTATCAGTGATGGACGCCTATTGTACCCATATGGGAGCAAATCTTGGAGTTGGGGGCCGCGTGTCAGGAGATTGTATCCAGTGCCCGTTCCATGGCTGGAAGTTCAACATGGAAGGGAAATGCGTCGAAGTGCCCTACTCAGATAAATGTAAGCAATCCCGGAATTTTTTAGTATAATTGGTCGTTCTACATTTTGTATTAGTTCCCATGGGAAAGGTCCTGACCCTTCGGCTAAAATCATAAATAATATTAACTGAAATATTGAAAGCCTACGCTTACGCTTTAAGAGCGGAATTTATTTTATATTGAACTTTCTGAACGTCGTAATCTCTAAATAGAGAGTAAAAATAATTTTGATGGAATAATTGCAAGCGGCCATTGGCGTGCCTAGAGCTGTACAAAGTAATGATGTAGTGGTACAGTTATGCCCTAGGAATTATACATAAAATTATCAGCTCTAGGCAATAAGTTCACTAAAACGTCCATTTTGATTTTGTTTCTACTTTACAGTGCCAAAGAATGGAGATATGAAGACCTGGCACTCACGAGAAATGAACGGTAATATATATGTCTGGTATCACTGTGACGGGACAGACCCGGAGTGGGAAATGCCCTCTGTACCGCAAGTCGACAAGCAACAGTATGCTTATGCAGGCCGAATAGAGCATCATATCAACACACATATACAGGTAAATAGAGTTGAATACGCGTTTTAGAATTCAGTGCTTCTCAAACGGTGGGGCGCGCCCTTGTAGGCAATTTGTTCGAGGGGGCGTGAAGCTTATTTGTTAGATTTGATTTTGCCCGCCTTATTTTGGATATTTACATTGTAAAGTGTTTTCTGAATAAAACATACTTTTGCCTTACTACCTGTTGTTTGTAGCTTATTGTTAGCTAGTAATTTTTGATGCGGGGCGCGAGACTTGACAAATTCTAAAAAGGGGCGCGGTTTAAAAAGTTTGAGAACCACTAAAATTTTAGACAATTTATCGGACAAAGAAGACCTTCTTTCGGAAAGTTCTTCTTGCCGTTATAAGGTTAGGAGAATGAATATAAGACCCCAATTGTCATTTAAATATTATTTTCCGTGGCGTGACAACGGAGATGTGAATAGGTTTGGATATACTTTTCCAATTGCTGATTATTAGATGGTCTCTTCAGTAGAGGGCTATTTGGGCTGTCATTTAGACATCTGGTCATCAGGGCAAATAAACTTTAACAAGTACATAGTAAATTTCTATCCCTTTTAAAATATTTGATTAGACTCAGCGCTTCTTGTGCGAAACGTTTTGATCCCTGTGGTGCACTTCAGAAAGTGAGCGCCCAAGATTACGTAAACACGCCAAGATGGGCACTTGGCACTTTACGCTTTAAAACATTCAATTCTTAATTTTAAGTTGAAATCCTATTTGTATTTCTTTTTTTATAAACACTGCCCCTCCCCCAACCCACCACCACCCTACGCGGGTAAGGCCAGGAGTACAGGCGAATAAGACCAGTATTCCCCTAAAAAAATCAAGTACAATGTTCACAGCAGCTTCAATTTTTCTCACAGGATATTCCAGAAAACGGATACGATGAACCGCATCTAAATTATCTTCATCAACCTCTTGTTCTTGCTGGGGTAAATCTGGCAACCCATTTTGATTCGAAGTTCAACCTTGCTGGGAATATTATGGAGGTAAATATAAAATTAATCAGAGGTGTACTCATAACTTCTGTGTGCGCGTTATCTTGCTTTGAGATAATTTTTAAAAACATTTTTTATTCAATTACAACAGACGGACTACAGCACAATGCTTCAAACGAGCGAAAAACACGTTGCAAAAATTAGTCTTCTTCATGTATTCGAAGTTTTCAGTCGATGGAGAATGGTCTACGTCAACTTTCAAATATATCAGGTAAGACTATTTAATTCAAATCAGTTCAAGTCTATATATTGACATAGAGTACGTGATTTTCATATCCCCACTGCCAGGGGAACCATTACATGACATACTATTGCAAATCCCAAAAGTATTGTCAATTCTTCAGCTTGTAATGCAGTGGCTCCCAACTTTTTTTGCAACCAATTATTCCCTTTTCGATTATTTTAGAACTTTTTATTCCTTCCTCATTATGCATAAAAACTACTTTATTAATTAAATCTTTTTTGGATTCTTAGCTGGTGTTATGTGTTTGATGCCCCGGGTTAGGATTGGGTCATAATTTTGTTCAGATTTTTCTTATCTTAGTTTTATTACGAGTTCGGGTACTGTCTCTGTTAGCCAAGAGAATATACCCCCTGTCCATAGGCTTCCGGTCCTTTACACAACTTGATGTACAGAAGGCGAACAAAATTAGTTACATCCATATTGGTAAACATACTTCCGAAGCGCCCAGAATTCTTCTCCAAGAAAAACGAAATTTCTCATCCTTGGAGAAACTTGTCCCAGTTAGAAAACGTGTATGTTGTCACCAAATAACACTTTATTCTCTTTATGCAGATTGGACCAGGGGTTGTTCATCTACACGTAACAACTCCAGTTGGCAAGATTGTAATAATACAGAACATTACACCAGTGGAACCTATGGATCAAATATTAACCCATGCGCTGTTTAAGCCTTGGTACATACCGAACATTATCGCGAAGGCTGTTTTATGGGGATTGACTGTGCAGGTTGGTACACTATTTTTTAGTCTATTATACCTTTGCGAGAATGATTTTTTGCGAGAATGAACCTCTTGCGTTAGTGTACCATTTTCGAGAATGATTTTTTGTGAGAATGTATCTTTCGCGAGAAAGTACATTTGCAAAAACAGACTATTGTGAGAATGTTGTTTTGCGAGAACTGACTTCTGATAAAATGTGGTTTTGCGAGAAAAATATTGTGGAAAAAGACGTTTGCGCGAATAACCTTTTGTTAGAGTTTTTTTGCGATAAAAGACATTTTGAGGGAATATAGCTTTGCGAGAATGTTGTTTCACAAGAAATATTTTTTTAGAAAAGGTTGCATTGTGGAAAAAAAACTTTTGAAGCAAAAAGGCGTTTGCGGGAATGACTTTTTCCAAGAATGTACTTTTGTGAGAATTGGCTTTTGCGAGAAAGTACATTTAGTGAGCATGTAATTTTGCGAAAACGGACATTTGCGCGAAGGTTGTTTCTTGAAAAAATTCGCTCAAAGTAAGGTTACGAAAAAACAGGTTTCTGGGTTGAAAGTTGAGAACGGCCACTGACCGACAATAGTTGCAGTAACTATATATAGGGTGTCCCAAAATAAATAAAGCCCACAAAATTGGTAATCAAATTATTGGGTTTCATTTATTTTGGGACACCCTATATATATGTATAAATTTATGGTTGAACCTCTTCCAACTTCTGATATTGATATAGTCAAGCCCAAAGTCTTAGCTACCGTCTTTACATTTCCTTTTTCAATTTTATAGGTCGATCGTGATCTCATGGTTTGGAATAACAGACGAATACTTGCGAAGCCATTATTTTTGAAAGAAGAAAAAGTACAAAAGACATTCAGGCGATGGTACAAACAGTTCTATACGGATAACAGTCCAAGATTAGGGGATACTAAGAAGGAAGGCGATTTGGACTGGTAATTGGACTGAAGGTCGAACGCTAGTTTAATACATATTATTGTGGAAGGTTGCAGGCTCATCCTACGCCACAGTAAATTGAAAATACAGTGAGGAAAAAGAATCGCGAACACGAGTTTACAGAGAAAATCCAGCGAAAAGCTCGTCCTACGCTACATTGAATGAAAATAAAGTAAGAAAGAAGAATCACGAACGCGAGTTTACAGAGAAAAGTTTAGAGAAAAGCTCGTCCTACGCTACAATGAATGAAAATAAAGTGGGAAAGAAGAATCGCGAACGCGAATTCACAGAGAAAAGTTCATACTACGACACAATGAATGAAAGTAATGTGGGAAAGGAAGCATCGCGAACGCGAGTTCAGAGAAAACCTTATCCTACGTTACATTAAATGAAAATAAAGTGGGAAAAAAGAATCGCGAACGCGAGTTTACAAAGAAAAGCTCATCCTACGCTACATCAAATGAAAATAAAGTGAAAAAGAAAAATCGCAAACGCGAGTTCGCAAGAGAAAAGCTCATCCTATGCTACAATAAATGAAAATAATGTGGGAAAGGAAGAACCGCGAACGCGAGTTTACAGAGAAAGTTTTTTCAAGCGCACACTTTGACAGCACTTGGATGTGTAGTAGTTTAGTAAAGCAGTGGTTTCCAATTCCTTACGGGTCGTGACCCCCTTTCAAATGATTTTAAAACTCATTGCCCCTCTGTTCCACATTCCAAAAATACAATTTTTTTGTTTCTGAAGATTAAAATTAAAATTTAATTTTCTGCGTCTACAATACGTTTACGACTGCTATCTCGCAGTCAAGTGAAACTGTACTTAATAAGTGAACTAGGTTCGGCCGTTGTCTGCAGATAGCAACCTGCAACCAGCGACAAACATTAGAATTCGCAGAGCGAATATTGGTATTTTGATTAGGAGATTCCAGTTGGGAACCGCTGTAGTAAAGTCTAAGGGCACGATGAGCTTCGTCTGAAATTATTGCTTCAACGATTGTCTAATTTTATATTGAAATTTGAAATATTAAATATCACACTGCTCTATATTTATATATTATTTATCTATCTTTATTTTAAAAGAATTTTACTTTTTTTAATCATTTTGTTTTTAATATTATTTTTTCATTTAATTCATTCGCAATAAAATACAGTCCGTACAAGTTGAATTCATTGAATATATTGAAGGATTTAGAATTTGGGTTTATCATTTGTTTCTGGAAGGCGGGTGAAAGGGATAAAATGGCTTGGTTTTGCAAACCTCGGCCTCGCGTTCGGTAAAGAATAAACCAATGAGTTGATTGGGCCTTCCTGATACATGGACTCAAGTCGTGGGGGATCCGCGGCCTTCGCTCGCGAGTCAAGCAAAGTTGCTTGTAACTAGGTACAATAGGACTGTTTTCGATTCAATTTAGAAATGAATTTTAAATTTTCCGCAACATTAATTTTATTAGTAATGACGTCACATTGTGCGATTCAATTAAGGCTTCCATATACATCGACCTGAACCGTGGCTTATGTGCGTTATTTTTTAGTTTGCAATGTGCGAATAAATATATGAAATAATGATACAAGATAAATCGAGGTGTTAGCAATACTATACGCAAGTACAAAATCCCCCCCGCCCTAAAACCATAAAAAAAATTCCCCCCAGGGGTAAGTTCTTCCCTTCTTGGGAATTGCTGCACTAAGCTATCAAGCCAACGGCATGTAGTGTTGAATATCATGACTTTGAGTCGTTAGTTAGTTTATTGTAAGCTCTACCACTTCAAACTGATATAATAGCCCATTATGATTCCCTAGCATCGTGGTTCTAAAAGTAGGTGTCGCGACGCTAGGTGCGTCGTTTCAATTTTGCTAGGGCATCGCAAAACATTTCTTCTTTTGCGGAAATATACCTGCGATGCGTAGAAAAAAATCAATATTCTTGTTATTCTTGTTTGAATCACACTCCAGAATTGAAGATGACAATATATTAATTATTGTAACAATCAACCTTATTTATACGTGGTCTCACTAACGTCATGGGTCATTTAATGCTGTTCCAATTATGACATCACACACACTGGGTCAGCTCGTGCTATGCATGTCATTCATTTCTAATTCACACGCTTTGATTTGAAAGATTCAAAATTGACACCACGGCAGTTCTCTTCAAGCATAAATTAAATAAAACTTATTGCAAAAGGGGTCAATTCTATTGAAAGCTACTAAGACGTTTTTCACAGGGTGACTTGATCATATCTTCGGAGGGCCTCACAATACTAAGAAGTTTGTAAACCACTGCAACTAACACATTACCTGGCCCTGCGCGCAAATTGGTACGTCCCCAACAGGTCATTTGGGAGTTTTTAGAAAAAAATGTGATACTCCCGGAGTGCGTGTACCAGGTTAGAATTAGGGCATATTTTTATTCCAATTTTCCCTAGTTTAGTTCTATTACGAGGTCGCGGACTGTCTGTGTTAGCCAGGTGAATAAACCCCTTGCCCATAGGCTTCAATCCCTTTACACAACTTGATAAAATATGCCAAAAATAGCCAAAAATTTTGCCTAACACTGAAGTTATTCTTCCATTAGATATCGTCTACGTTTGTATTTTGCTCGATAGCGATTTTGCTTCCCGCTGACTTCTGTTTCAAATCTAGTTGTGATTATCCTACAGATCACCTGACCACTCTCGTTACAACTAGTCTTTAATCGCCTCATTTGGAGCTAAACACAAAGTATGAAATTGTACATCGCACCAACAACTAAAAGACAGTTGTAAACAAATATATATAATTGGAATAAATCAGAAATACGCCCAGACCAATTATTAGTAATCTATTACAATAGACATTGAAGGAAGGATAATCGCGAATTTAAACAAAACACACAATATACTACCCACAAAAAAAAATCTGCATCTGGCATCGACGCGATCCTATTTGACAACGAGGCTTAATCTAGTCATTTACAGCTAAACACAAAGTATGAGCCTGAACAGCGCGCAAAAACCAAATAAACAAACGATAGATGTAAACAGACAAGACTTGGCGGGTTAGAAAAGTAACCGGGTCAATTATTACTAATTTAAGGTAATAATCATGGCTTTTACTGAAAAATGACACGGGACCAGTCTGACAAATTTAAAAATGAGCCCACAATACACTGATATATGCATGCCATGGTGATGATAAATGGCTATTGCGAATTCTAAATATAAATTTGCTCCGATACTGTAACAGTGACTTTGCGATAATGTTGTTAAATATGGGGTGACCCAAAAACAGAACTCGTAAATTACTACTTACTAATACCACTAGAGCTGGGCATTATCACATATTTGATGATTCCAGAATCGAATCGAATATTTTTTTCGAATCGAATCTCGAATACTTGTAAGATATGTAGTTGTATTGAATGTTTCATCCTTCGGACACATAAATTAGTGAGTGTTCGCAGACAGCAAGAAACATGTTTCATCAATAACTCATTCCGAAGACAAAAAGTCTCATGTTAGAAATATTTTTTAAAAATTTGACATGGACAAAAAATGTTGGATCTATCTCGACCTACGGGCTGACAAAAAAAAATGACGGCGATCAAAAATTCTCATCTGAACCGATTCGAATGATTTACTATTCGATTCGAATCTGATATTTGATTTGAAATGCCCAGTGCTAAATAGCACTAAGTAAGACTATGCATCGCACAAGAATCAAATAACCACATGACAGACTAAACAGATAGGAACTGGAATGAATTAGAAAAACGACCAGACCAATTATTACTAATTTAAGGTAATAATCAAGGTCATTAAAGAGAGGATAACAAAAAACCATGTTGATGAATTTAAACACAAACAGACAATACACTTATAGGTAGAGGTTGCGCGACGCGAACTCCCAAAAGGTGCCGCAGCTCGATAATCAGTTTTGGTTTTCGGCGTCTCCTTTCACTCTGAAGTTTTTCTGTATAATGTATAAATTAATGATTACTGATTCTTCCTCAATTCCTTTCCGTTAGAGAATCCGTATGTGTACTACGCAAGGATGCTGTGGCAGGAATAAACATGATCATACTATTCAATTCAAATGTCCTGCTGCACACTAACCTAAACGCAGAAATAAATTCGTGTTAGTGTGCAGCAAGGACTCTTGAATTACACAATATACTGCCGACAAAAACATAACTTCTGTTTCATGTATTGACGTGATGATTACAATCAACACTTGGCTAAATCAATTGATTAAGCAATGCCAAACGGAAAAGGTTCCACTTCTTTTAAAAAATAATAGCATGTTACATATCATTGGGTACTTATGCAAAGTATTTCTCGAAGGTAAAATGCGAAAAAATAAAATATCGGAATTTAGGATTCCGTTTTTGTTGTTGTCGATGACGCAAAATTGCATACAATATTTCCGACTCTTATCCCACTGAAACGTCAATCAATCTTGGCAACGTCAATGAACAGATCAGTTATCTTGAGATCTGTCACTTTTACTTGTCAAGCCGTAGTATCTATAGCCTGTTAAGCCAGTGATATCGTTACCCTTCCCACTCCTAAATATTCAACTCCAGATGTTAAGGTGTGACACCTCACTTCAATTCCAAATTGAACAAAATTATATAAGTGGATCAGATACCAGTACAGTTGATCAGTCAAATAATTTCGAATTCAGGATTTCGTTTTAATTTTTTTCGATGTCACAAATTGCATACAGTATCTCCGACGCTTATCCCACTGAAACGTCAATCAATCTTGGCATCGTCAATAAACAGATCCGTTATCTTGAAATCTGTCAATCTGACTTGTCAAGCCGTAGTATCTAAAGCATGTCAAGCTCTAACACGTAACTCGTAACAAAAGCTGGGCATTTCGAATCGAATAGTAAATCAATTCAAAAAAAAAATTCGAATCGCCGCCATCTTGTTTTTTGTCCGCCCAAAGTTGAGATCCCTTGTTTTTTAGAGCTTCATTTTCAAATGTCATTCTGACATATGATTCTTTTCTTTCAAGTGAGTTATTGATGGAACATGTTTTCTTGTGTGTAAACACAGCGAACTGACTAAGTAATGGATTATATGTCTTCAGTAATTTAAGTGCCTGAAGGACCTAATATAATAAAAAGTAGCGTACGATTATGTCATTGGAACATTAAATTTAAATATCTTCAGTATTCAAGATTCGATTCGATTCTGAAATCATCGGTTATTCAAAAGTACCCAACCTCACTTGAATATTATGTTTGATAGTGAAATTCAATTCGTTATATTTAAGCTGCACACAGGCAAGCGTGTCCCCGTCACCAAAACATGATGCGTCAAATGTTATTATGAAAATATCATAGAATTCGAATGAAGCTGGTCAGTGGTTCTCAAACGGTGGGGCCAGCCCCACACGGGGGCGTAGACAATTTTTTGAGGGGGTGTGAAGCTAATTAAAAAATGTATCTTCCCCACCTTGTTTTGGATATTTACATTTTTTGATTGTTTTGAGATTGCAATTCAATTCATGTATTTTATAAGTTTTTTTTTTTTTTTGAACAAAACAAACTTTCGCGTTACTATTTTTATTTGTATCTTATTGTTAGCTAGTTATTTTTGAAGTGGGCACGGGTCTTAACAAATTCTCAAAAGGGGCGCGGCTTAAAAAGTTTGAGAACCACTGAGTTAGGGAGTCAAACAGACACGAGTATCTAATTAAATAATTTTTGTTTTCGCCTATACGTGACAAAACGGAGGTCAAAATGTCGGGCCAACATTAAAATGAATGACATTGTATCATCATTATAAACAATACGAAGAAATACCATTTACACATGTTAAAATACACACCATCGTGACAAAGATAGGAAAAAAACATTAAAATATAAATTATAATCTGCTTATAAATGACTTTAATTCTGAACAAACTTGTCACAAATTCTGGGTGTGGCGTTTTGATTGAAAGTTTGTTTGATGTTAGCTGTAATCATGGCTTCAAACGGAGAAACATAGAATTATTCATTTAATGTGTTTAAAATACTCATTGTGGTATTTTTGATTGGAAGTGCTTCTTAAAATAAAGAACAGTCGTTTTTTTTTTTCATAGCTTTGGAAAGGAAAACGTAGAATAATTTATTGTTTTGATGCATTAAAAATGAGTGGCATTTCATGGAACATTTTTACA